TTACACATAACAAAATGAATAACAACCACATTGAATGTTGACGTGACATGAAACATACATGATGACAATATGACTTGATGCATGACTTAAGTTATTAGGGACACCCCTGACTTAGTCTCACTTGACAGGATCACCCCTGCACTCCGGTAATGACCCGGGCTCGACAAAACGTCGCAAGTGAACTAGCAAAACTGGGTGGTAGCCGTAGCCTGACTACCATGTACGTACACAAAGCCCACCTGATGAAAACCCGTTGGATCCCAAAGGTTCTTGGACGGGCCCACTGTAGTAGGCGCACGAAAGCCTGACCTCCCTACAGCGGTATGCACATGATGATGACCCTAGGACATGCGTCTAGGACGAACATGATGAATTGAATGCATTGATTGAAGAATGAAATTAAATTCAACGCATACATATATGTTTGATTTCGTATGAAAAGAATTTGTTCAACATGATGGCCTTAGGTTCAGAACTGGCTGATAATCGATTGTCTATTGTTGATAATCGATTATCATGCTGTGCAGCTTCTGTCCCCAAAGTCCTGCACACTGTGATAGTCGATTGTCACCTTATGAAAATCGATTGTCAAGTTGGTTTGTTCGGGAAGTCCTAAGTTCAGAGAGCCCTGATAATCGATTATTGCCTATGTGATAATCGATTATCAGTGAAGCCAACTCAGACCCAAGAATCCGCAGGGCCTGCTAGTCGATTATCACATATGTGATAATCGATTATCACGCTGTGCTGAATCAATTGAAGAGTCCAGTGTGGCCTGATAGTCGATTGTACTATCTTGTAACTCGATTATCAGAGCACGCTGATTTCCATTTTATCTGTTTGTTTGTCATCAAAACGTTGGAAGTTTTAGAAACGAATGTTTATATTTCCATGCTAGATAATCGAATAACTTACAAGGTTTCAAAACATTTATAATAACGAGTACATAACTTGATAACACGGACACACGTATGTTTGATGGTTAACCTACGAACATGCATAGATTCTACGTAGGTTGCGCACGATATTCCTATGAATATAACGACATAGATTATAACGAAATGTTCTAGAATTAGAGGGACAACTACTCACCTCTAGTTGAAGGGATTGACGGAACGATGAAATGAGATGAACGAATAGTTGACAACGTTGAACGGCGAATGGTTTCTCGTGGACACCTCCTTCTTCTTCTCGTCCTTCTCCTTCTTTCTCTTCGCCGGAGCTCCGTCGTCTTTTAGGATTCTACTGGCCGGCGTCCGTAAGGAAGAGGGAGAGAGAGGGAGTTGGATGGTTGTGTGTTAATGGTGTTGGGGTGTTACAAAATGGTGAAGGGATGAAGAAGAGAGGGTTGTATATAATGGTGGTGGTATAATGAGTATTAATGGAGAATTAAAAATGGAAGAATGAATAAGGATGAATGGCGTGTGGAATGGTTTTGGGAGTTACAAAT